ACACAGTGTACTTTTATTTTCTTTTTTGAATTTTGTTTTCACATAGACGGCTCCACAAGTGCACAGCCACCAAGGAACCAGTAATAAGCCTGCATGTCCTCAGCTGATTTCCCCTTTCTTTGAGGTTTTGAGTTTGTTTGTTTTTCAATTATGATTATTATAATACTATTAACAATACTACTAATAATAAAAGATAAAAAAGACTTAGTATAGTATGGACATAGTATGTATTCTTGCCATCTTAGCAATTGGGTTAAATTCTTAGGATTCGGATACAATATATGTTATATTAAAAAAAAATCTAATTCATCTGTAAGACATCAGCCTGAAAAAAGAAGTTATAAGAGTCTGAATGCAAAATGTAGTGTTTGTTTAAAGACAAATGCAAATACATTAACCTATTGATGCCAGGAGGGTTGGTGTACATGCCCTGTCCAAAGTACTTTTCCTTTTCCTTTTCCCTTCTTTCTTTCTTTTTTATGGGTTGATGGATGGATGGATTCACAAGTGTTTAACTGAGGACTCAGTTACTAGGCAGTAATTTTATCACCTGTTTGCCCAATTCTTTCATTTTTCTTAAAGACAAGTTATTATTGGTAACTCATTAGTTCTGGATACTTCACTGCCATCATGTGGTAAAAGATACAGGCATTAGGCTTACTTGAACAGCTACTCTGCTGGGTGTGTAGCTTGTAGGCCAGGCACACATGGGCTGCATAAGTGTTTTTATTTTTTTGCTATTTTCCAGTGTCTATATTTCTCATTTGATTTGCTTTGTCAAGATGGTAATAGACTGTTTCCTTGTGCAGACTCCATATCATCTCTTTAGATAGCTCATAACTCGGTGCAGTAATAATAACAATAAGCAACAATTTGTTATTTGTGTCATTTTTTAAATATTTTTTCCTAACATTCAATTTTCTGTAATACAACCTATGCTGCCAATCACAGCTGGCGGGGACAGGATCCTGAGCATGGAAATAGTGTCCTCCCTGGCACTGGCGCTCTTCCAGTCATGGCTCACAGATGATACATTCCACACTCATTTATAAATGGAAATAGTGCAAGGCCTCTTCTAAATACCCACTGAGTCTAATCACCCTCCAAGAGCTTTGTGCACTTGGGGCAAGTCATTCCTGTCACCCAGGCCTTCAGCCAAAATTCTCATGACAGTATGTTCTTGTCACTTCAGCTCTTTGCCAGATTTTTCCATGACAACATATACAAGTCACCTGGCCCTCAAACCCAACATTTTCATGACGTGGTGGTCATATAATCCAGATCATAGGAGTGAACGCTTTCACACCAGATGATATCTATTTATGCCATAGCCAACTGGCTAGTGTCCATGCCACATGTAGTCAAGCCTTTTCTGATTTGTGTGTGCTAAAACTGCAGTCATTAAGGAGATACAGCTGCACAAAAGTAGGCTTGAAGTCCATTTTTTTACTCTCATATCATAAGAAGCATGTACTCTTCAGGCAAATGTATGATCCCACACTTCTAATTTTTCTCTTGTGACTTCACATGATCCATGGTATGTAGCTTGGTATGCCATGTGAATGAGTTAATAATGTTAGTAATGATAGTATTAGAAGTAAAACTTCTTTCCCAAAAAAGGTAAGGTATGTGGTAAAGAGGTGAAGAGAGGTAGGTCTAGCAATTGATAATGAAGCACTTGTTAAGTCATCTATGTGTAAACAAAATTGATGAAACTAAAGTTCAAAGACATTGTATATAAAATGGCATCACTGAATAAGTGCATAGCAGAATTAAATAAAAATCCAAGTACAGCATGGAAATGCAATATATACAGTGCTTATCACCATTGTTTCTTTCTTTTTTGCATCTGTTTTTCATGTGTATGCTTGATTAGTACTTGAAAAATCAATGCTAATAATTAGTGGGACATAGTTTGTTGATACTCAACAGATGGGAAATAATTGTTGTTTTGCTAGCTAGTTACACCTGTATTGTCTTCTGTTAATAGCAGAATTTTTTGTTGGAAGTTAGTTCTTGCACATATTGTTGATGAATTAAAGATTAGTAATATGATCAATTTGCAACTACATCCCTGGTATTCCTTGGTCCTACTGCATCTTTCAGTTTCACTATCTCTAGTAGATACCTAATGTAATCTTTAAAATATACTTCACTTAAGGTAATAGAAAATTGCTGTTTTATGTAGAATATTTTCTTAGAACCATGTTTTTTTTACCTCCACCAATACCTGCTAACTCATTGGATAGTTTGTGTTTTACTGTGGACTTTTCCATGTACTATGCTGTGGACATTTTGCAATATTGAACAGTAAAGTTTTCAGATCTAACATGATTGAATCTGTTTTATAACAAGAAGCCTTTTCAGGCCCTTGCCATCTTAAACTCTTTAAACTCTTAACCCCTTGGATCCAGTTGCATCATGGCAATCACATCACTAAAAATCTAGGCATTAGGCTTACATGAGTGGCCATTCTGCCGGTTGTGCGGCTTGTAAGCTGGGCACACAATTACGAGACTCTATGCCTCCTATTTGCAATGTTATTTCCTCTTTATACACAAAAGTGTTTTTATCTATTTTTGCCATTTTCCAGTTTACATAATTTAGATGGTAATCTCTAGGTAATCTACAAGTCAGTGCAAGAAAAAGAAAAATATGTAACTGTTGTTTGTGCCATTTTTTATATTTTCTTGGTAATATTCAATTTCTTGTAATGCAGTCTGCATTGCCAGTCACAGTGCTAGGCATGATATGCTGAGCATGGAAATGGCATCCTCCATGGAGCCAGTGCTCTTTCAGTCATGGCACACAGACATTATATGCCACACTCATGCATCAAGGGGAATAATGCAAAATTGCCAAATAAGTCTAATCAACCTCCCACAAGGTTTGTGCACTCATGGTGAGTCTTTCCCATCACCTAGCCCTTCAGCCAAAATGCTCATGATGGCATGTTTGCGTCACCCAGCCTGGAGCCAGATTTTCCCATGATGGCATTTTCATGTCCCCTGCCCCTTTGAGCCAGATTTTTTATGACATGATGGTCACGTCACCCAGATTGAAGGGGTTAACTCTAAGGTTTTGAGAAATCCCACATTTCACAATGATCACCCAAATTTTAACCTTCTAACTTTCTACAGGGTTCTATGAAGAGATCACGCACACCATCTCCTCCTCCACAACCAGGCTACCAACAGATCCCCTACAACTTCAAGAACCTTTCTGGACATCCCCCACCAAGTGTACCTGTCTCTCTGCCCACAACCAGTACGTTTTGCATTGTTGTCATTGTGTTTTAGGAAAGATGAGCTCTGGCATTTGGTGTTTTTTTTCCTTTCTTTTTCTTCCAATTCTTATTTTTTCCACTAAAAAAAATCCTGTGTTGGATATCTTTCTTTATTGCATAACCTATCCAAATCCTGTTTTTTTAGACTTTTTTAAGGAAGTTTCTTGAATGTTTGTAAAGGCTTTGTGTCATGAAGTTTCATATTCAAGACTGCATGACCTGTGCTCAATGTTGTCTTATCCATTACCTTATGAAGTATCAGTAAAGCAAACCTTGAAATATTTTTGTTATTCCTTATTCAGTTATACTGTCATTACTCTTTTGTCCAACAGATAACCAGTTCTTCTAAGTGACAGAGAAAATACCAAATGACCATGTGATTTCTTGGGTTTTAGTCAGTGTGTTGTGTTTTAAAGTTTTAATTTAATCCTGTAAGGGTACCTGCTGCAATAGGAAATTTTACTTTAAGAAATAGCAAAAGATTTTTTTATTGAACAAAATACTGTTTATATAATAAATGTCAAATGAAAATGTACACTTGAAAACACTATCCAACAGCCTATCACAAAACTGATATTACAATAATAACAACATAAGTAATTCATATCTCATCTTAACCCAATGTCAGTAGGTGATTTCCCGAGCCTCAAGCCCTACCTCCCGGGTTGTATTCATAGTGGCTCGTGTCATTACCCTAGCATGCGCGACCGCTCAAGCCCAGCACCAGCATTCCTTGCCTTCTCTTCGTCATACACTGAATCTATTTTGTATTTTCAGTATTATTATTTTCTAAGGTCTATATTTGCCATATTTTCTGATAAGGCAAGACCGTAGGATATTTTTGTTGTTGTATAGACTTCATAATTGTTCATTATTCACTCTATAGTCTGAATAGAATAAGCAGTGTGTGGTATCATGACCTGACCTCTTGACTCTGGCATCTTCTGGGAGATCACTTCACTCATATGCCCTCTGAGTGCCTTTTGCACAGCATAAGCATTGACCACTGCTATGGTCTGGCTTTTAGCTTCTGGTATCATTTTGGTGACCCTGCCTTGAACGCAAATGAGACCTGCAGTCAGGGATCTTGTTGCTGCTGTAGGGCCTGCCTCTCCACAACAGGTGATCTGGCTGCTGTCTGGTTCCTGATGACATCGGCCCCAGCTCTGAAATCCTCCAGTAGCTCAGAGGAGAAGCTCACTTAAAGTTTTCTGAGAATACTCCCTGCAAAGCGCACAATGGATGGCCAAGCATTGTTGACAGCTATTTGAAAAGGAAGAGGATCTTCCTGTACCAAACCTTACACTGGTGAGCAGTTGGTAGTAGCAGCCTTACCTTGATGCTACAGTAGTCAACATCACCCTCCTTACACTGAAGTCCTTGGGCATAAACTTACTGTTCAGCTGAGTTGTTCCTACCACAAAGATCCCTTCGACTTGCAACAGAAGAAAGTGACTTGGTGATGTGTACCAGTCGTCAACAAACAACAGCTATCTTAGATCAAGAAAACCACCAGTCTCCATCAAATACAGCAAGGCTTGTGTGGATGAGGGCATGTAGTCGGAGACCTATCTGGTGTACCCTGCTGCTGGTTGGGTACCATCTTAGAGCTTATAGACCTTCAACCCATATTTTGCCCTCTTGCTGGGGTTGAAGGTCTTGAAAGATAGTTGCCTATGGAACTTCCACAATGACTAGTTGATGATTGTGTCCCTCTCTGGCACAAAGGTTGAGAGGAACTATTTGCTTAGGGTGTCCATGACTGGTTGGAGTTTCCACATTCTATCCTCTGGGAGTGGGGCTTCTTCCACAGTGAAGTCTAGGTAAGTTATCAATTGGTCAAACATATCCTTGAATGAGGTCATGCCGCAACACGTGATAGGTTGACCAGTAATTGCAATGATTGAGGCATGACACTATCCCCATTATCACTTAGATTCTAAGGTATGTAAAGACCACCTGCCTAGATGTGGGTGCCCAATGCCTCATGTATGGTGAGGCAGCAGGGGGGTGGGGCTGAGTCTGTCTGAATGAAAATGACAGCTCAGTGCAAGAGATATTTTCTCTATATTAATACAGATGGAAAGAACACAAAAACAAAAGTTATGAAACTTACCTGTTGGTCTCCTTGACATTGTGATCAAGGAGAGTGTCGGTAAAAAACAACCAAGGATCTCCGAGGGTGTCGAGGTTGACCCCAACTGCCAGAAAACTTAAAATGCTGGGGGATGTTGTCACCAGACAAAGTATGGAGTCCCTGGAACAATAGCAATAGTCGGACAACCACATTGGCTCATCACTGTCAGGTGTGGTGTCACCTTGGAAGGTGTAATCCAGTTCATTCTCTAAACCGGACACTTCAAACTGTGGGTCCATGGCAGTCTCTGCCTTTTGCAGCAACCACTCTTCTCCATTTTCCTCAGAGGAGTAGTCAAAGAAGATGGGTAAGAGGCAATGATACGGTTAATGGATGGCACTGCAGCTCCATGGCAAGAGGTGCTGATAATGTTAATGGCTGGGGGGTCATCAGTTTCAGAGGAGGAGGAGGAGCATCTGCAAATGCTGGTAAAACAAGGCATTGTGAGAGCAAGTAATGCATAAGGTGAAAGCACTCTAATACATACAGGAAAATTCCCTGCTTCGACCTGTCTGGGAAAAGAAAACCAACCATGGCCACTGAGGTCAAAGCAACCTGGTTCACATGTCACATAACGTGACCAATCATGCCATAGCTTAGCATACTGATGTCAATTCCTTGTGGGATATTATTTATTTATCTATTACTTCATGGAAGTGAAGTGGGCAGCTGTAAAGTGACATCACTTCCTTTTATGACATCTTGAAATAAATATGATCACTAGAGTGATATCACTTTCTCTGCCCTGTGATATCCTTAAGCTTCATGACATCACTTCATCTACCTACCTGCCTGACTCTCTGTGTCCATCTATTTATCTAACTTACAAGTTAACTATCTAGTTATCTATCTCCACTTGCCTGCCTCTCTGTCTGTCTGACTATCTATATATCTGTCTGTCTCCCTTCCTCCCCATTGAGCCTCTGCCTTTGTTTTAGTCTCTGTTTCTCTCACCCTCTCACAGTTCCCCTACCCCTCCATCCTTTTATGCTGTCAAATCCAGGTAAATAGGAGTGAGAATTTCTTTACTTCTTTTTTTATATGACCTTATGATATAACTTGTGGTTATGTGTGCAATTCATGTGAGACACCCCATCAGACAGCTGAGAACAAGTTGCCTGGAAATGGTCTATATTCTGGGTGCCTCATTGATGGGATGCCTGCTAATTGAGGATTAAAGACCACAAAATGAATCAACTAAAATGACACTCAATATTGCAATACACAATACTCAGGATAAATGTTATAACAAACAGCCAGTTAGTGTTGATAAGAAAATTGAATGTAATCATTTGTAATAACAGAAAGAGACAGCTAGAATTCACTTTAATTTTCATATAAATTGATTTGAATTCCTGTTTGAATTTCGCTATATAAATTCATTATTGGCAATTACTAACAACTTACTTTGGGTAACATTGAAGTTGTAGTAATTCAGAGTAGTCTTTTGACTTGCTTTGCTGTCCCTGGATTTCCTTTTTCTTTTTCAAGCATTAGAAAAATTTCTTTTGTATTCTAAACCAAAACTGTCAGGTTGTCATAGCCCCAGCTTTTTATGGAACATACAATTGTATGTTCCAGTTGTATGTTTGGAGATCTTGATAAGTATGTAAAGGGTTAAAAAAAAGAAAAAAAAAGTGACATCCTTGACCTGTGCTGGACCTTTCATAGTTTTTTTCTTGGGCAACACCCCAAAAGGGCCTGAAAAATCACTTGATATCTTCACATAACAGTCATGATATTATCACGTGAAATGGCATGAAAATCATATGATACCTTTTGGATTTGTAAGATGCCTTTTTGATCACATTTTTAACTGCTCCACTTATTTCTTCCTTTTACTAAGAATTGAGTGTTGTTGAGCTCCCCATTAACTTGCTTATGAATAACAGTAAAGGTTTATTCTTGAATCCCACAACTCTTAACCGGAGCCACAAAGACTGTTAAGATATCACCACACTAACCATTTGTTTGTTTTCGTCCCTTCACACATGAACAGAGGCTGGAACGGCGAGCAGTGTATACGTGACAGGTCAAGCGCCTTACTATCATGGGTCATCTCAGGCCCATAGCAGCT